ACAGTGTTTCTTGATCTCCTTTCTATGTTCTCCTAACTTCCCGCCCGTAGATGCACCCACCTGAAACATTTTAGTAGTTTCTTCTTCATCCTGCTCACCACTGTGGGGGCTGAGGGGAGCATCTTTTGTGAAAGGGCCCAGAGTTGTAAAGCTCCTGTTTCCTTGGAGACTTTATATATAGCCCTGCCCCAGCCAAGAACTTAGAGCAGAGCTTATGAGCAACTGCCCAGCAAGCAGGCAGGCAAGGTGAGCGGTAGCCAGGGTGACCTCAGCATAAGAAACGCTTCATTTTCCCATTTTCCATAAGAAAGAAATGAGCAGCAGAGATGAGGAGCTACTGGCACTGGCACTCAGCCACAGGATCCGGGCAATGGGGACTGGCAGGACTGTGGCCAACCAGCGTCCCCTGGAAAGAGATGGCTGCTGCTCAGCTCGACCACACGCTGTCGTGTGGTGCACAATTCCAGGGTTGCCAAATATTCTTACTCTCCAAGGAATGCCAGAATCGGATTTCTTTTTTCCATGTGGAATCTCCTGATTTCTAAATGTCAGCAACTAATTCTTCCCCTCCCCTCTCTAAGTGAAGCACATAGTGAGCCGGACTTGGCTGTGAGCCACGCATTTATGACCTCTGCACTGATCCTCGTGTGAGCCCCTCTGCTTCCCAGCTGCCCTTGCAGTGGGGTGAGACCACGCCACAGGCTCTGGCCACCAGCCTGTGAGTGGAAGAGCCACGTGTCACTTCCAGGCCAAGGCAATTAAAAGCCGGCTGCCTGTTCCTGTTTCTCTCCCCCTGGTGAGGCAGGGACCCCAGAGGCTACACGGTGCAGGTGGCACAGCAAGACTACAAGACACAAGTGGCTGCTCCTCCTGCCACAGACTCCAGATGTGTGAGAAGCACGGCCCTGAGGTCTCGGGGTCTGTCAGTGGAGGCAGCCAGTGTTAGCTGCCCTTGCGCACACCCGGAACCATGTCACTCACACGTGACTCACCACAGCATCCCAGCACTGCCCAGTTTTCAAAGCCCTTTAACGCCACTCACCTGGTGTGACTCTCAACTCAGTAAGACAGACAGGGCAAGGCTTTATGATTTCACAGACGAGCAAACTGAGGCTCAGAAGGTAAAACTCAATCTCCCCAAGGTGTGCGGCAAATGCGTGGTGGAGCTGGGTGGCACTAACTCTGGGCTCTTGAGTGGACTCCCAGTCCAGTGCTCTTCCTACCTCCCAACCTAAGCACTGGCCTTTACAACATGACCTCCCCACCACTCCCTGGGTCCCCTGTGAGCTTGAACAAGGACAACTCATGCCCTCCCCTGCCCAAGGTTAGTTGCTTGAAGATCTACCTCTTACCTTTCCTGTAGACTTGGTCCCCTTCCAGATACAGAAGTAACAGATGGTCCAGGCTGCCAGGAGACACAAAGCCAGCTCCCAGCGGAGGCTCCCAATGTGGTCGATCCCATCAGAGATGGCCAGGACCCGGTGCCTGCAGAAGGGAGTGGGGAGAGTCACTGAGGCTGGGGACAGCTCACCACAGCCCACCTTGGGCAGAGCCAGGGCTGCAGAGAAGCAGAGATGGGCCCATGTGTCCATTTACCCTCCCCCCACCAAGGGCCCACACGTATCCTCATGGCCAAACCCTGGGCTGGCCAAGGGGCCTCCGAGAGGAGCAAGACCCACGTCCCTGGACCTTGGATCACAGATTCACTCTCTGGGGGGAAAGACGAACATGTTATCAGATGTGCTACAAAGACAACATGGTAAGGGCTCCCATGGCAGGTGCATCTTGCCTGCCTTGGGGACCCCAGGAGACCATATTGCTGTCCATAAACATCTCATCTCCCTCCCCAAGGGAAGACTACACATCCCTGCCCTGTTGAACTCAAGGGTGGTGACAGGACTTGCTCCAGCTATTGTTTGGCCAACAATGGGGCATGTGTCACTTCAGACAGAAGCTTCCAGGGCCAGGTGGCATGGGTCTGCATCTTCTCTTCTCCCTACCTCTGCTGCCGTTACGGAGGCACATGTCAAGATGGAGCCTCTAGAAGCGTGAGTTCCCGAGTGACTGTGCGAGCCTCCTACCACCGTGTCAGAGACATACCCCGAGCAAGAAATGAACATCACTGCTTTAAGCTCCTGAGATCGTAGGGGGCACTTGTTACAGCCCCGTAACCCAACCTATCCTGACTGCTGCGGGGCGGGGGAGCTTCCTGGGAGAAGCAATGTGTGAGCCAAACTTTAAAGGATGAGTGGCGTTTAGCCAGGAGAAGAAGGGCGTGATGATCGTGTTAGGTGCAGGGAACGGCCTGGGCAAAACCCAGAAACCAGAGCGTGGTGTGCTTTGGGAACAGCAAGCTGGGCACAGGGATAAGAAGGAAACAGCAGGAGCAGTACAGAGGAGGCACCACAGGGAGCCTTGACGGGCAGGCCATGGAGGGGAGCGCCCCGGAGGGCCCTGGCCGCAGAGGGAGGGCCCCAGGTGTGCTGAGCTAAGGCCCCAGGTTCGGCCTCCCTCAGAGCCCATCAATTCCTCAGAGTTGACGCAGGCCTGGCCCCCAGAGCCCACGCCCGGGGCTCATGTTTCTGTAAAGTCACACTCGCCACGTTCCATATTGTGTAGGCACGGCACCAACACAAACCCCCTCCAAACTCACTCCACGAGCCCCGTTCCGGCCGCCGAACCATCCCCCACCAGACCATGCCAGTCACCTCAGCACTCTGGGAACTTCCTTTGAGAAGGGAGCGCCCGTCCCACCAAGCATGAAAGCCACCCTCAGTGTCTGTCTCCCTGGGAATCCGCTTGGGGCCTGATTCTGCACTAATTACTCAATGACACCAATTAGCACTGGTCTACGGGCTCCCTCCAGTCCCAGCCCCAGCCGCAGAAATCGGGCAGGCCCCCAGACAAAATCAGAGCGTGTGAGGCTGTGGATTTACTCGAGAGGAAACCAGCTCTCAGACCATAGCCAGGAGAGGTGGGAACAGCCAGTTAAGTACACATGCATCGAGCACCTGGATTCTACTGTGTGCCAGGCACTACCTTAGGTCCCAGGATAAAAAGGTAAGCGTCATATGGCCCTTGCCCTCTACTAACTAAGACCAAAAAAACACAACAGTCCAAGTTATTTGAGACAGAAAGGAGGCAGCTGCTCAGTTATGATAATTGTTACTTTATTTGCCTCTTATGTCTTAGCTCTAATTAATTTCAAAACTATGGGCCTTATTAAATACAACCTTGAAGAGCATCTATTATTGTAACAGAGCAGCACGTCCCCAAGCATGGTCCTCAGGACACCTGCCAGAAACACACACATTTCTGCGCACCCCACCCCCACCCCCAGACCACTGAGTCCCGGTCTTTGCAAAGTGGCTCCCAGGGGGCTGCATCGTGCCGCGTCTCCCCAGGGCTGTCTCACACAGTAAGACGTGACACCACAGAAGGAGAATTCCCTGGTAAGGAAGGACGAACCTACAAAACCCATCTGGATGGTTTTTAATCTTTTTTTTGGGAGGGACTTAGAGAGAAAGTCATGGATCCTTTGAGAAGTTACCCAAGGGATGGACTTCCTCCCCAGAGAAATACCCTCACTCACAAAATGCTGCAGGAATTTCAGGGTGCCCACTAACTCTCTTGTCCCCAGATTAAGAACCTTGCGGCTGACATATGCTTACCGCCTTACACACGGCTACCCAAAGCGTCCCCAACACCCACCAGCTGCTGAACAAGAAGGGAAACGCAGAGCTGGAAAGAATCCAGGCCACTGCAGATGGAACCACTGAGGTGGCCTCTGCACCAGCCACTCCAGGTGCCGAGCTTGTCCCTGAGGACACACTCACAAAGGTCCCTGCTGAGCAGGGTGCACATGCGCACCGTCACACACGAGCCCTCTTGCTGGCGACGGAGTTGTTTTCTGAGTTGGGAATCTGAAAACTGGAACCCACACAGGGACAGAGGGGGAAAGGAGGGGCAGGCCCGCCAGGCGCAAGCTGGCTCCGTACCCCCCTCTTCCACATTTTGGATGCTGCACACTTTTGAGTCATGCAGCCCGCTCCAGCACCCTTTCGCTTAATTGAACAATCTAATTCCCAGAATGGGAAGCAGATTACTAAAAGCTATGGAGGATGGATTGCTCTTTTGTTCCACCAGACACTATTTGAAAACATCCTCAAACTATTTTCTTTAGGTTTTACCAACACTGACTTGAATTAGGAATGGACCTTTGGTTTCCAAAGAAAAGGAGGCTCAGGGGCCAGGTTCTCAGCACGCAGGGCTGTGGGGCTGTTTTGAAACCCACAAGGGCAGCTTTTCAGAGTGTGGGGGCTGGGGCACTCAACTCCGAAGACTTGGAGAAGGCACAGCTCTTCCTGGGAAAAAGCTTTCTTAATGACACTCCCCCACGAAGCTCTGGGACAGAAGAAAGGTCTGAATAAGGAAGAGTTTGCTGCCAACACCCTGGCCAAAAAGAACCCAGGAACAGACCTCCCGACACTGTTCAGGGAGCGAGAAATGCTGAAGACTAGATGTGGCCCTTTGGAGGGACTCAGTGACATGAGTAACACTTATTGTGCACCTACTATGCACCAGGTCTATAGCAGATTCTTCCTGAAGCACCTTTTTCAGGCCATAGGAGAGTATTTCTGGAGCTTTCCACCCATAGGCTGAAAGCTGAGAGCTTGGAGGGAGGTCCCCAGGCCTCGTGAACCCGTGGCTCCAAGCCCACCCCTGCTGCTTACCAGCTGCGCCACCTCGGGGAAGCAATATCACCTGTCTGAGTCTCAGCTTCCTCATCTGTAAATGGGAATAATGACACCTACCTTCAATGGCTTTTCAAGCATGAATGCATGTAACCCTCCCACAATCCCCAAAGTCATTATCGCCATGTTGGAGACGGGGACTTGGGTGCACAGAGGTTAAGTAGCTTGCCTGAACTCATACCCCGAGCCACAGAGCTTGCACTTAAGCCCAGGGATCCTGGCTCCGAGCCCACGTGTTCATCCTCGATGCTGGCTCCTGGATTTCTCCACAACCCTGAAATCACCCACCACTTCCCTCTTTTCTTTACAAATTAAAGCCATAGCAAATGCACTGCTAAAACTACCTTACATGTCTTTGTAGACCAGGTAAGAGGAGTGTATAGCACATGGTGTTTATGCATTTATTCATTTATTCAGGTAATACTTACTGAAGTATCATCGGTGTGACAGACACCGAGCTAAGCCTGGGGGTCCTTACAGAGCCCGTGGTCTAATGTGAAAGACAAACAAGGAAAGACAGTGGAGCCTGGAGAGGGTGGTGGAGAGAAAGGCTGGGGAAGCTCCTGGGCACAGCAGGGGACCCTTGCTGGGGACCAGGGTCAGTATCAGAGTGTGGGGGTGGGGCCAGGTGCTAAAGGGTAGGAGGAAAGTGAGCAAAGGAGAGGGAAGCATTTGGAGCAGAAAGGCCACCAAGGGTAAAGCCAGGAGGCTGGAGAATGCTCGGCGAGGCCCGGGAAGGGCGTGGCGTGTCGGGTCAGTGCAGCCAGGCCTGGGGAGCAGTGGGGCAAGGTTGTGGAGGAGTGGGGCCCAGGAGCCAGACTGTGAGCCTTGTTGAGGGGCTGGGGCTGCTTCCCGAGAACGGCAGGAGCCCAGGAGAGTCATAAACAGGGGCAAGCCCCTGTCAACTGTATGCTTCAGGAAACTATCTGGCCGCAGTGGGAAGAACGAACAGGGTGGCATGGGGCAGGGCACCCGGTGCAGGGAATTTGGCCTCAGTCATGCAATCAGTAGGGAGGGTCTGGCCCCAGGGAGGGGAGTGGACAGTCTGAGGCAGCAGAGGCACAAGGTACTGCCTGGGCTGACCCCGGGTTCATGCCACAGGCCCCGGAGCTTGGGAGTCAGGTCATTAGCTGAGCCGGAGTGATGTGGTGGTCGGGACAGAGAGGAGGAGGCGGCTAATCCTTCCGTCAGACAAGATGACTTTGAGGTGCTGGGGAGACACCCAGGTAGCTGCAATGTCCAGAGGCCACTGGGTGTCCTGATGCAAAGGTCAGAGGAGCAATGCAGGGAGGAGATTCAAATCCAGGCCCTCGGCCTTCAGGGTGTCCTAGAAGAGCTGGAGAAGGAAGAGAGGTGGGACCTGCGACCGGGCCCTGTAACCCCAACAGCTCAACACGGAGAGAGGAAGGGAGGAGCCCCTAAAGGAGGCAGAGAAGGAGTGGGCAGAGAGGCAGGGGGAACAGGAGGACAAAGGTCTCAAAAGCAAAGGGAGAGGGGACCCCACGGGCAGGCAGCCGATCTGTAAATGCTGGAGGGCAGCCTGGGGAGACAGGGCGAGGTCTCCAGGATTTGGGACCAGGGTGGGCAGCGGATGGGGGTGAGACCCTGGGGAAATCTGGTTCTGATGGCTCAGGGAGAGGCAGTGGCAGCTAGAGGGGCCCCGGGGTACAAGGGCTGTTTGATCCACATTTGTTTTGTCGTCAGGTTGGCACAACTGGGCTGGTTCATGAG